TCAATACAATAAGGGCGTCTAGTAGTCACGAACGATCCACACTTATGCGTCCTAGGATCTCCAAACAAGGGAAAGCACGCAATCCGGAAGGAGTACCCTCGACAAAGGGACGGTTTGACATCGCCGTTAGATTGCAGAACGAGGAAATACTTACATTTAACTTAATAAGTAGGAATAGGAGCCAACCCGGTTTGGAAATGTGTAAACTATATCATTAAAAAGAAGCGAAACATTTAATCAGTAAAAACAAAGTAAGATATTTTGGCATTGCTGTAACCAACCGAGGTTGATTTGTCTTCGCTAAGGAAAAATAGCAAGAGGCCTTTCAATACAATAAGGGCGTCTAGTAGTCACGAACGATCCACACTTATGCGTCCTAGGATCTCCAAACAAGGGAAAGCACGCAATCCGGAAGGAGTACCCTCGACAAAGGGACGGTTTGACATCGCCGTTAGATTGCAGAACGAGGAAATACTTACATTTAACATAGCCCGCCGGTTTTTTACGACATAGACAAGGGAGAAAACAAGAGAGGAATACTCGTTTATTCTTTGGGAATTTTTTTTTAAAGAACCTTTTTTTTGTGGGTGTGAGAAAAAAAAATATATCTTTTGCTGTAAAGGGTTATTTATATACATGTTTTTGATCGTGTTGGATTTCTAAATTTGGCAATCAAAAATGAACGCCAAGTTCGTTGGCTTAGATTTACTTGTTTGGAGGTGATCTTCACATTTTTGATTCGCAATGCATGCTTTTTTTGATTCACCAAATCGTGTAACTTGATCGCTGTGATTCAGTTTGTAATAAAGTAAAGTGATCACGTCTTTTTATTATTTTCGTGATAATTATTAATAAATTATTTTATTTTATTGAAATATTTTAATATCGATCTAGTTTTCATTATCATAATTATAATTATTAAAATACTCGCCAAAAACATTGCTATCCTCAACAACTCGACCAAAAGGTAAATTTACTGCACCATCAGGATTATATTTGGATAATTGGTTTCATTTATGCTATTCGTTATTTTTTTTAGAAAAGATGCATAAAAAATTTGTTTAAAAATAAAAAAAGTGCAATTATCGAATCAAAAAAGGGACGTGATCACTGTATTACAAACTCCTGAATCAAAGCACGCATTGCGAATCAAAAACGATACATTGCCACAGGATCTATAAGTTTTTTTTTATTTGAGCATTATTTAAAAGATCCATGGACTTTATAAGTTATTATAGAGTACGCTTCCACCTTTCATACTATATTGAACTATTGGCTAACAATACATTTATTGTTCATTTATACTTCTTACAACAATGCAAATTCTGTGATTATACCCTCCTCCATACTGATGCGTTTTAAATTTCTAAATCTATCTTAATTGGAGCAGGTAGAAAAGTACAGGAACGCAATTCTTTTCTTTCTGTGGTTATATGTTAAATATTACCGATTCATTTGTGTCACAAACATGAAGAATACAAGCATACAACTTATTAATTTCAAGGAAATACATTAAAGCAATGCGTGAAGAGACATATCATTCCGACTCTAAGGTATCATCCTCAATTCTTTGAATTAAAGTTATTGATGTATGGAATTAATTTTTTTTCTTTCCAAATACGGCGTATCCTGAGATGGCTCATGCGAAGAAGATAGTCATCGGCGTTACAGTAAAATTACATTTGATCACATGATTTACTATATATTATACTCCCATATTATAGATACGATCGAATCATCGGTAAACCCGTGCACGAATTATTGTCAAAAACAAATGAGATGACTTGTTAAACGTTATGGAAGGCGTTTTGACTTCAAATAATCCCGATCCTAATGAGCAAATCTAATTAATACCTCTTGTTTTTTTTTTAAAAAAAAAAAAGATGACCTGAATGTTATTATCAAAACCGAGAAGAATGATTTCGTGCTTCTGAAAAAATGTAAACAGAAAAAACTAAAGCTTGCCATTTTTAAAATTCTTTGAATATAACATGACCTATTTTGCAAACATGTCGCTCTTGAACTATGACAAATTCGAAAGTAATGTTCAAAATGACGAGTATATATTACCAGATTGGTAATCTTGTTTTATCATTTGCTTCTGAATTGTCATCTTCAAAAAGGGATGAAAAACATTGAACGCTTCAGCAATTTTGAAAAAGAATCATTACAAGATGATTACTACCGTTAATCATGGAAATAAAATTGAGATTTTATAACAGATAATGGACAAGCAAATTTATTATCAACTATGTCGCTAGCAACTACCCCGGTGATATTGGGATGTTAGGGGAAATGGAATCCAAATTTTGGTAATATTCATAATTAGCTAAAGTATTATATACACATTTTATGTTTACCGGGATGGTCAGAAATGACCTTATTTAATTTATCATTATCCATTTGAAAGAATGTATGATTATCTAAAATGAAATCGTGAAACCCGGTACCCCCTATTCGATGTGTATGCCATTTCGCATCATACTATTACAAGCTGTAATGTAGTTATGTTACGAACATTTTACATGGGATTTGTGAAAAATGAAAGCAAGTTGTTAGATAAAGAATTTCAGGTTAATAATGCAAACTGATCAAATTTTTCTTGAGATCTGGTCAAATCAAATGTATCAGACATTATGGTATATTGATAGCGAAGTCAGTGAAGCAAGTAATGTTTGTGTAGACTCAGTCAAGGTGTCACCAAGAAAGTGTTGGGATCAGTTATTATGGTTATTTTATCTGTTTATTCGTTTGCTAATTTATCTTGGTACAATAAAATAACTGCTTATAAATATTAAGAATCGATTTAATACTGTTAATGATTTATCCTTCGATTATATTTCGATATTTGAGCTGATTTTAAACTCCGATTGCAATTAAAATCCAAGTCAAAATGATCCATCTCTATCAGCCGTTCTTGGACATGTTTGCCTGCAAAGAAAATAAAAAGATTATTATTACCTAATAAAAATTTATTCCCCTAGACGGTACTGTGATCTGGAACATTGGGACTTGGGACAGTTTCAAAATTCTTGGGACAGAAATGTACATCACTGCCCCTAGGTAATATGAAAGGGGGTATTAATTACCTTATATAGTAATATCTGCCTAAGATTTTTGAACTCCCTAAAATATTTACCTAATATGTGTCACTACTATAATTTTCCTAATTTGAAATTACTAAAACAAATTGCTACGCCTAAGCCTTACCATATTGAGAACACCTTAATTTAAAGCTAACCAATTAAGTAATGCCAATAAGATTAAAACCGGTTATTGGGCAGATCAAAAAACATATGAACATTCGTTTCTCACATTTTTCACATTTCTCACATAAAACTTTAATCACCGCTTTTTTTCCAGCCTTTAGAGAGTTTAAATTTATTGTATTTTTATTTTTATTTTAAGTGATGCGTTCAAAATGTCAAAATCATTAAGAGGTATAGAATACGTTACATGTATATCAGATAATGAACCGATTGACGTATCGTTGAGTGTTCTAGTCGCATTTGGCTTGTTAATAAGTTGCGTCCCACAGGTGTATAATAGTTATATTTCTTATCCTTCTCATGGTTTTCTCAAATTACATAAAGTCACAGATATTAAATGGATATTTATTTATTTCAAATAGGTATCAAGAATTATTAAATACAGATCAAGCGAGGGGATAAGCCCCTGGTACCTTTTATTTGGAACGATATCAGCAACTTGTAGTCTTTTTAATATCATAATTTTACAATTTCACATGATTGAATGTTGTCGAGTTGTAGTAAGTTTTTGTTTTTATTATTATTAAATTTTTTTTATAATTGATTATTTACGTATGTTTATATATATTAGCCTGGTCTAACGTGTTTGGAGAATACGTTAGGTATCATTCAACTCACAATTCAATGGTTTATGTTCATGTTAATTTTAATTCTTTTCATGTTATATTTTCCTTCGCATCGAAAACTTGCACCATATATTCGTCATCTTCATTTCAATAGTCCACCAACTAGAAAGTCAATTGAGTGGCGTAATTCTATCGTAATTGCCATTATCATTACAATACATTTTATAGTTACTATAACCATTACAGGGGTACTTTTATTATTTTATGGTCATGAAGATATCAATTGGATGAAAGGGTGGGCAGATTTCTTGGGTGTATCGTCCATGATATTTGTGTCCATTCAATTCATCCCACAGTTATACAAAACTTGGTGGCGTAAGGTAAATGTTGAGATCAAAGTAATAGATAAATTGAAATATATTTAATTTACTAATACTTTTTGTTTCTTACAACCTAATTCATTTAGTCCGTTGGTGCTCTTAGCATTCCGATGATGTTTATGCAAGTTCCTGCTTCGTTCATTTTTGTTTACACTCTTTATATTAGACCCGGTACTAGATGGACCACATGGATTGTATTCTTTGTTTCAGGATGTTTACAAGGGATACTTCTCATCATGTGTATTTGCTGGTATTATCGATCAAAACGTCTAGGGCATGGACCATTTTATATCAGTGAAACAGATCAACTACTTGGTCGTAATGGTAAACCATTGCTTCCTGATGAACGTACAAGGTTGATAAATAAAGGACAAAAGAAACGTTCACCTAGACCTTCCACTTCAAGGGGAAGTAGCTTCAATAGCAATGCTTCTGACCCCCCTATTAAAGATGTTACTTTAAATAATGATACCAATTATTTATCTGTATCATCTTAAATGGACTTTTTAATTATATTGGAATAGATGTAATTTTATTATTATTTAATATGTAGTTTTATTTGTAAATTATTGCAACTTAAATTTTGACTTCCGTAAACAGAATGGTTCCGCGTAACTAAATGTTCTTAAATTTATTATTATTATTATTATTATTATAAAAGAAAAAAAAAAAGTAAAAAAAAAAATATAAATATATAAATATATAAATATTTTGTTTAATTTCTCATTTTCAAAATTATCATTAATATTTTAAAATTGGATGGATGGTATCCATCCAGCAATCACAACAATTATTCTAAAAAAAAATAAAATAAACATAAATTAGATTGTAAATATGTTTATGGCGAGCTTGATGATAGATTGTTTTTGACGTTCAGTAAATTAAAGTTTTGTTACATTTGTAGAGCTGTCTAGACTCTTTTCAAACTCATTAAATCATAAATATAACATCATAACAAAATTAATTTCTTGTCTCTCTATTATTTGTGTGAATAGTCTATCTTACCTCTTTTTAATAATATTAATTCTTTTTTGAGAAATTGGAACGGAGAACGGAGAGGAAAAGAAAAAAAAAGATTTCAGGAAAAAAGATTAAAAAGATCGAACCGTCGATCGAACCGGAGACGGGATCAAGAACCGAATTGGCAAAATTATTTTGATCATGCGTGGAAAGGACTCATAGAAAAAGTACCAGGGTCTTATTATATTCACCATCCATAAAAGTAATATCATTTCGGGTTTTCAAACAGGATTTTAAGTTAGAACAAATAGAAAAAGGTGGTGCACAGGGTGCATAGGGGGTACTTCAAAAAAATATTTATTACTAAACCCTTTTATGGATAGATGTTAAACTTAATTAAATTGATAAACGGTAATAATACGAATTTTTAGTATCACAACCATGGGAAATCGCATCTTGTGTAAATTGCGTATTGTTTGCATTATCTTGTAATGATGTATTTGTACGTCAGATATTCCGGTTCTTTAAACAGTCCCCTTTTTCATGAAGAATTGGTAATCACCCCTATTTACGCCGAATACTTTCAATTCTTCAACATGTTTACGCATGTTACACAACATTTAAATGAAAACGCCCAATTCAATCTCGAACATAAAATTTCAAGTCGATGATAACTTGCCCAACCCTTCGCCCAACCGAATTGATTTCATATTGTAATATCAATCATTGTTGAGTGTGTGTAACCCTATTTTTTATAAAACCGCGTTTTAAAAAATAAATATGATTCCCATAATCGTAGTCTTTACGATTATTATTGTTATCCCTTCATACATTTATTATTCGGTCTAATGTATAATCATTAATTTCAATTTTTGAAAGTGAATACGTTCATTACCTCTTCCCTTTTTTGAGACGTTGGTCAAAAGCACATAATATATACCTTTTGTGTCTACATTTCAATTAGCAAAAAATGGCACAAGAGCAAGGAGGTGTCCTTACCGGTGCGAATCCGACCCATTATAATGCAGCCGAGCCTATAACTTTGTTTATCATACAAGTAATTAATGTTTATTATCTCGTCCTTTTAAATGATAATCGTTGATGGTTGTGATTAACGCGTTTTTTATTTTGTTTGTACTTAGGTGATAATGATCATCTTTTTCACGCGTATTCTTCATATCGTCTTGTCACGATTCCGACAACCTCGCGTGATTTCTGAAATTGTAGGCGGTATTATCCTTGGTCCATCAGTTTTTGGTCGCATACCCAATTATATGGATACAGTCTTCCCTAATGAGTCACGTCCTCACCTGTCCTTACTTTCTAATTTGGGATTGATATTGTTCTTATTCATAATCGGGGTTGAATTGAATCCAAAAGTCTTGATGAAGAATGCGAGAATTGCATTAACTATTTCTGCCGCGGGTATCATTTTGCCTTTCGCTCTTGGCATTGCCGTTGGGTATGGATTATATCGTGTAATGGATAATGATAACGTGTCATTCTTTAGTTTTATTCTTTTCATTGGTGTAGCAATGTCGATCACGGTAAGATTCGTTTCAGGAGATGATTGTTCTCTAATCAAATTTTTTTTTTATAAAAATTGATCCTGAATTATTTTTTTTTTTAATTTTTCATGGTAGGCATTTCCTGTACTCGCACGTATTTTATCGGAACTTCAACTACTTCGAACACCAGTTGGAGTTACCGCTCTTACTGCTGGTGTTGGAGATGACGTGGCCGCATGGGTTCTGTTAGCTTTGGTCGTCTCGATCATTAATGCAACTTCTTCGCTTACTGCCTTATATATCTTCCTCCTTGCTATCGCTTGGGTAACGATAGTTGTCATTGTTATTCGTCCGCTCTTGCTAAAACTTATCGTTAGAACTGGAAGTAATGATAATGGACCTACTGTAACGATGATGGCTATCACTTTATCCCTTGTGCTAATATCTTCGTTCGTTACAAGCATTATTGGTGTACATGCAATTTTTGGAGGGTTCATAATGGGCGTTATTATTCCACATGAAGGAGGTTTTGCTCTGGGTATAACAGAAAAGATTGAAGATTTAGTTAGCGTCTTATTTTTACCTATCGTAAGTATAATGTTTGCAAAAAAATTTCTTTTTTTTTTTTTTTACATGAATTTAAATGATGGTTATTATATTATTTTAGTATTTCGCCTTATCTGGATTAAAAACTGAGATTGGTCTCTTAAATGATGGTGCATCTTGGGGATGGGTCGTTTTGGTAATCATTGTTGCGATGTTTGGTAAGATCTCGGGTGCTACACTTGCGGCAAGGCTCAACAAATTGACTTGGAGGGAGTCTTTGACAATTGGCGTTTTCATGAGTTGCAAAGGGTAAATTTTAAAATGATTTCAAAGTTTTCTCTATAACATGAAATGAATTTCAAATGCTGACGAAAAAAATTTTATTATTTAAAAAAAATATTAGTCTTGTTGAATTGATTGTTCTAAACATCGGACTCGACGCAGGAGTCATCAATGCTAAAGTTTTCGTGATTATGGTTGCCATGTAAGGCATAGATTTCTGCATTTTATATGAATTATATTTAACTGTATCTTTTGGCAATTAAATTAATTTATATTTAAATTTTTTTTTTTAGGGCATTGGTTACAACATTCGTGACCACTCCTTTAGCGGTCTGGTTATATCCACATGAATATCAAAGGAAGATGGAACAAAAACGAGCCGCTCAATTAGAAACGCAGAGAACACCTGGTCAAGAATCTGATGATACCATCTCTGCCAAGAAAAATAGATTGTTGGTTGTTCTTAATAGAGTTGAGCATCTTCCGGCGATGATGATGCTTGTACAATTATTACAACCCTTATCAGCTTCTATGAAAAGCGTGAAAGCTCAACCAAAAACGCAAGAAAACGAAAAAACAGCTCATCAATCAGTTGGAGAGGAGAAGGCCACTTTCGATTTACAATCAAGTTCTCCTATGACCGTTCATGTTTTACGACTCGTTGAATTAACTCAACGTATCTCCTCTGTAATGAAATTTAATGAAACTGAAGAAACTACATTGTACGATCCTATCATGAATATTTTCAGAACATTTGGACAATTGAATTTTGTCAAGGTTAAAGCAAACCTAGCTGTCGTTGCACAACAAGACTTTGCGCAGCAAGTTGCAGAAAAGGCCGAAGACACTGATGTCAATTTAGTAGTCATTCCTTGGGGAGGTGCAGGTGCAATCATTGATGATCCATCAAATCCACTTGATGAGGTTCTTGAACCAAGAGTGAAGAAAGTGACGAGTCCACAAGTTGCGCATTTTATCCAAGAAATCTTTTCTGAAGTTTCTCTGAGAGCAAATGTTGGTGTCTTTGTGGATCGTGGACTTGGTTCGTCCCCTTTAACGACCTCTATTGATAATGGTGGTAATAATATCACGGTTCGCGTTTTCTTACCATTCTTTGGTGGTATCGATGATCGTGAGGCATTGTCATTTGTAATCCATTTACTTGACCATCCGAATGTTTCAGTAACTGTCCTCAGATTAATTAAATCTTCTGAACCCACAGAACATGATGTAACCTTAAAAGTTGAGGGAGATCTTGAAGAAAATGAGGAACAAGGTTCCGAAGCAAACCAACGTCCTTCGCTTTCTCACAAAATATCTTCCGCATCAGCTCATGTCATTCGTTCAAATGTTGCACGAGAAGCATCTTATAAATCTGATGAGACATTATTGTCAAAAACCTTGAAGTCACGTACGGGTGTTGTAGCATCAAATGCTCGAATAAATTATACGGAAATAGCTTCTTCTACACCTTTACAAACGGCAATTGAACGTGCAAAGGAGGTAGTTGATCGTAAGGATTTAGTTGTAGTTGGACGTGGGCGTCATGATGTTACTTTTAGTCATAGAACAGAATTCTTGGATATCCTTAAAAATTCAGGAGGAGGCTACGGCAACGAAACTCGTAAATCATTGGGTGATATAGCCGAATCATTTTTAGTTGGCGGTATTGCTGCGAGTATCTTAGTTTTGCAAGCGAAGAAGTCCACAAATTCAACGGATGAAGTTTAAAATATTTTATAAATTTAAAATTAATATATAAAGTATTTTATTAGATCATGTAATTTTTTTTTATCATTAATGAGAGGTATCTGCGATAGATTTGCTACACCTAAAATGATTTTAAGGGGGAAAAAAGTTGATTATATATAATAATATTTGTACTTTTATCATATAATAATAATAAAAAAAACATCTTCCTGTTTGTACATATTTGTTTTCAATTAAAACTTAAAATATTCAGAAAGGAATTCCCAAATTTATCTTTTTTTTTTTTTTTTTTTTTCGGGCGCGTAGATTCAATTAAAATTTAATATAAAAAAAATTTTTTTTTTTACTTTTTTTTATCAAAAGACAAAGTCATTGGAGGATGCTTCCAATTAAAGTTGGTTTTAATAATTTATTACAAACCTATAAATAATTTTGCTGTCATCTTTGATAAAGTTTCTTTTTTTACATGTATATACAGTGGCGATCATAAATAATGCAACAAAAAAATAAAATTCTTTAAATTTAAATATTTCTTTCAATTCTAGA